ATATAGTTTGTTGGGGTTTTATTGAAACTGGCGCGCGTGCGATTTTTTTCCCGAAGGGCATCCGCGAAGGTGGGAAGTAACCTTAAGTTTGCATATCTACATCATTCTTTTTTCATACATTGCGGGCAAGTTTCCTGACGCCAGAAGACAATCCGAAACTCTCTCGTCCTTTAAAAATCATCTACAAATAATAACTGTGGGTTCGAATACGGCCTGAATTTTTTCCAGGCTTTAATTTCACAACTGCTGGTTGTGTGTATTACTGCGATGATGAATCATGTCGTCATCTCTTTCTCGGCATGCGCAGTTCAAAGCTAGATATGATATTTCGTAGATTCACTTGTGAAAAATAACGGTGTCGCTGACGACTGATTGTAATTGCCATATTTGCAACTCGTGGCATTGTACAGTAATTTATACACGTAAGCTACTAAATTTTTAATTATTAACAGGAGCCATTATACTGTGAGAAAAGAGAAACTTGTCAGAAAGCTCGCACCTGAAAAGAATTTTATTCGGGTTTATTGCCAAGAGGGAATAGTTTAAGTGTAAAGCTGTTTATTATGCATGGGCGTCGAGAAGCGAAGATCTAGTCATTACAAATATGCACGCGGTCCCGATCTCATCCAATAAAAAATTTGAATTCCTTTAGTAGTTAAAAGAAAGTTTTAAACTTTTTCTTGCTACAAAAGTTAAGAACACTTGGCGAGAAATCACGAAACAGTTTGGAAGCAAAACCAACTTTCAAATTTAGCGGGCCGTACAGGAGAGTTAAGCCCACCAAATTGGCCAATCGCTGCGCTCGTACTAACTGAGAGGTATAAATCATGCATTTGACCCCATGATACGCACAAAAAGTGCCAGGCGTTGCAGAGTGTCTCACGCACCACCCCGCTGCTTATCTGTTGTAATTTCTGTAATGGCGGATTGCATGTGATTTGTGATCGACTCGTCGTCGCTGGTTTGTCGCTCGTTAATAAGGGTAAGAGAGTCGATAAGGATGCTTTTTACATGTCAAGCTAATCTAAATAATAGAGGGTGACCTCTTTTCATCTCACAGAACGGAGAGAAAGATAGTGTGGTTGTCTGTGATTTTATATGCAGTAAGCATGAAAAAGAATGGTGTAGTTCCGGTAGCTCTTTATACGGTCAATTGTTCCTGTATTCTATCATTGCTTTGTTCCGTCGTGATTCACAGGACCAAAACTAGCAGTTATGAAAAATCAGCGAGGAACGATCGTTCTTGGCAAGGATTATTGAATACATTAATCAAATGTTCTCGGTCACTTGAAAGTTAATTTCCCTCAGTAAATTCACAGGTACATCCCAAACACATCCATTTGTTTACACTGAGGTGTTACATTTGGGTTATGTGAGGGTGGCGTTAACTATTTAAGCTTAAATAATTTGGTCGAGTTTTAAAAGTAGTGTGAAGATTCAGCGAAACAACTATGATTTACTTACTTTGATAGCATTAATTTTACCACCAAAACCTTATCAGACCTTTTGCACATTTTGCTAAGTGAGAATGCATTAATAATTTAGGAAAAAAGCTGTTGAACTCATCAACAATTGATGAGCTTGGGGAATGGTGCCTGAAAGGATGGTGGAGCCCGAGAGCAACTATACCGAGCACATAGGGTATCCATGACAATGCTGTGAGCGGCAACCACCAGGCACTGTCACACTGATAAAACAGTGGAAACATGGGATACTTATCACATACTTACCATGAAACCAAAGGAGGATGGGTGGGCTGGGAGAAAAGCTTACTGAGATCTGTCCAGCAGCGAAAAACACATGGAATGACTTGACATCCAAAGCTGAGCTATAAAATTCAGTTGCCCTTGCACAAATCCCCCGGCCACCCCGTACCCACTCTAAGAAAGACTGCTGGCCAGCAATCTTGTTTCATGGTTAACTTGTCCTAAATTCCGTTTATCCTCATTTAAAACTATGTACACTGAAACTTTTCAATCATTGAGATCATCATCAGAGTATTTGTTTTGAAAATACCAGATGTTCTTGTAACTTAGGCATATAGCAATATCCCATAGGAAATGGGCTAAATTATTACTCATCCCTGGTTTATGGTTTTGATTTAATAACAAGACTCTGAGTTGTTTTCCTATTCAATATCACATATAATTAGGTTGACAAGGATACGAAGAGATGAATACAAGTCAAAAATAAACTTGCAATGCAACAAATTCAACTGTGGCTGAGAGTTTTCAACCATTCACTTCATGATTTTGAACCATAAGGATTTGCATTTCTTTGTGATCTCACCAAACATTTTTGAGTAGGGTGAATGTTAGCTGTTGGAACAGATAATATTATTTTGATTAGCTGCAAATTACATTCAAATTTTGTTGACTTCTGATAGGGCAACAATCAAGAGATGAAAATAATTTGAATTCAGTGCAGACACTTTGAATGGATGCTTGTCATACATGCATTCAATTTGGTTTTGAATTACTTTATCAGGAGATCAGAAATCATTATTGTTGCTGAGTTAATTAATTTGGAGTTGTTCTGTTGTTGGCAACTAAGAGTAATATTTGCCATTGGGTTAAAATTTATTTTTGCTGCTTACTTTAGAGATGAAATGTCCACACTATGCCACAGGACTGTAAAGAGTTGTTTCCTCTGCACCGGATCATGTGTGTGGGCGGGTTCATTCAAATTATTTTGCCACGATATTCAAAGTGTTAGGGTTGTGTGTACAGTAAAAAAAGTAGGCACTACCCTCAAGAAGCAAATCAAAGCTGTCTGTTCCAACAGCTAACAATTGCACTGCTTGAACATACATGATTGGTGAGAGCACAAACAAACTGGGACTCTTTTGTTTCAAATTGTGCTGTAATTGGCTGAAAACGTTCAGGTTGCCTTGGTTGAAGCAGTCACATAGTTGTAAATAACCAGTTTTATCAGATGCTCAAACCACTGAGGTTCAGTGGGCTCAGCCAGCCTGGTTATTTACTAGGTTCATTTTGTTATTTGAAAACTTGTTTTTTTTTTTGTTAATTGTAAAAAGTATTAACTGAAATTGAGTTTTCTCTTTTTTAACCTTACTATCCTTACCTTACTAAGAAGAATGTGCGAGAACAAGTAGACTTTGTGGGTTCATAACTCTATTGTTTGTTAAACATTTCACTTGCTGGTATTTTTAGTGCACCAGTGTTGTATTTTATTATCTTTTTTTAGTGTGAAGTGCATAGGACAGAGGACTATTAGGGTTAGTAGTTTTGCTTCTTAAGGTATTAGTAAGGAAGTTTTACTCTCGGATGAAGAGCCATTTTATCTTTTGTGGAAATGCTGAATAAAGTCATTATTATTATTATTATTATTATTATTATTAT